TTGACGTTGAGAGGTCAAATGAATGCTTACAGCGGATCTAAATATTTATAATTAATTATAACTAGTTATGATTAATTATTCATATTTCCCCTTTGAGCTGATTCGCTACAAACTATATTTATTTTTACTTGTAGCCTATATAAATAAAACAAATAAAAATAAAACTGTAATACTAAACTGTATAGCCACTAGATGTCTGCATAGCCTTTTATATAAATATACGTGATGTAATATCTAGATGGTGAAACAAGACACGATTTTTAATTGTTTCAAATAGTTTTTACTATAGTTTTTTTTAGTTTTAATTTTAAAGTCATAGCTAATCATGCAGATTTATGCTACATGCTCTGTGTAGTATTGTACAGTAAGAAAGTTATTTTCCTTAACCAAAAAATTAACGTTCTTAGAATTAACAGACAGTTGACGCTGAGAGGTCAAATGAATGCTTACAGCGGATCTAAATATTTATAATTAATTATAACTAGTTATGATTAATTATTCATATTTCCCCTTTGAGCTGATTCGCTACAAACTATATTTATTTTTACTTGTAGCCTATATAAATAAAACAAATAAAAATAAAACTGTAATACTAAACTGTATAGCCACTAGATGTCTGCATAGCCTTTTATATAAATATACGTGATGTAATATCTAGATGGTGAAACAAGACACGATTTTTAATTGTTTCAAATAGTTTTTACTATAGTTTTTATTAGTTTTAATTTTAAAGTCATAGCTAAATAAAAGTACTTAGATATTGCTTTTTGACTTATTTACATATGTAACTTGAAGTAATCCAAAAGTAATCAGATTACATTACTTTTATATTATGGTACTTGGATTACATTACTGAATACTTTTTTAATGAAGTAATTTGTAACTGTAACGGAATACATTTGAAAAGTAACCCTCCCAACCCTGCATGTATCTGATTTTTATCATTTTTGTATTTTTATTTATTTATTTTCCCCCAGTTGGCTTCAGTGTGAACAGTTCAGGTGGAATTCATTTGTTGTAGTTTTTTTTTTTTTACTTCAAATTGACAAATTGTAGTTTGTATGAAAAATTATCATAAAGTCATTCTAAAATGGTTTTGTTGTAATTTTTTTTATAAAATTCACTTTGTACATGTTCTGAAGTAATGACATTTTGCTTTTTGTTTTAGTGTCATGATCGCCCAAAATGCCTTGAGGCAAAACAAGCACTGGCTATGATATCCCTATACAATAAATCTTTCTTTGAAGAAAGTATCTGCACACAAGATTTATTACAAAATAATTTTGATTGCTTCCTTCAATTATTTTTTGTAATGTTTGTAATTATTGCAAAATGTCCCATTGATTACTTCACGTCAGTTTCTCTTTACCATAAAAGAAAAGTCAGTTTCTCGGTACCATAAAATACAGTCAATGAATAAATAAAGAGAATAATCATGCATATAAATATAAACTATATAAACATTCTGGGCATCGTGTTTGGTATGGCCATGGTTTTTCTTTTTTTTTATTATTATTATTATCTAAGTTCCTGTAACTGTGACCATGCCTGCCGCCTGTAAAGAGTAAGTGTCTTAAGTACTGTTCTACAGGTGCATGTGCAATATTTTTTTTTATGGTTTACTGAATAAACATGGAAAACATTGTTTAACCCTTTCCAATAAAGATCTATAAACAGGAATGCCAGGTTTGTGTAACAAAACTGGCCCAATGGTCAATCATAAATGGCCCAATGACCATATTCCAAATATCATAAATGATATGATGATATTTCCATACCTAAACTACATATTTTACAGTCAGTGTTATGCAAAATGAAAACCACTATATTGTAGTGATCATAAACACAGTTCAAAGGCTCCCTGCCAGTGGCCCTCCTTCACAAAACGTTTTATCATTTGGAAAATATAAAATATTTGAATACAAGCATTTTAGTCAAGTATAATTTATGCAATATGTCAAACCGTTAACCAATGGGGGGAAAATCAAGGCACAGAAACAATTTAAAAGTAGCCCAATTCCATGTTAAAAGCGTAGACTTGTCAAAACTGTCTGTAAAGCTTATATGGATTTTACAAAATTATCTTTAAAATGCAATATCCTAAAAAAAAAGATATTCTTGGTGTGTTTGGATGAAAGAAATAAAATATACTTACTACCCCAATTCCAGAAGAGTTGGGACGTTTTGTGAAATGTCATAAAATCAAGAATATGTGATTTGTTCATTCTCTTTAACATTTATTTAATTGACTAAAGTACAAAGAAAAAATGCCAATATTTTCAGTGGCCAACTTAATTTTATTTTGTAAATATATATATTTTTTTTATTTCGATGGCTGCAACACACTCCAAAAAAGTTAGGACAAAGGCATGTTTAACACTGTCACATCAACTTTCCTTTTAATTGCAATGTTTAATTGTTTGGGTATTGAGAATACTAATTGTTAAAGTTTTGCAAGCAAACTTTTTGTCCAATCTCACTTGATACAAGACTAAAGATTCTCAGCAGTCTCTGACCGTCGTTGTATGATTCTCCTTTTCATAACTGGTCATACATTTTCAATAGGAGACAGATCTGGATTGATCTAGCACATTCACTCTGTGTCTACGAAACCACGCTGTTGTAGCACCTGCAGAATGAGACCTGGCATTGTCTTGATCTAATAACCATGGACTTCCCATGAAAGATGTCATCTTGATGGCAGTATATGTCTCTGTACAATTTCAATATATGCCTCCATGTCAATGACACCTTCGCACATATGCCAGTCACCCATGCTGTTTGCTCTGCTGCACCCCCATACCATGACATATGTTTGCTTTTGCATCTGTCGCTGATGAAAGTCTGGATGGTCCCTTTGGTCTTTGGGACTGAGAACTCAACATCCATTTTCCCCATAAACAAGTTGAAATGTGTCTTTTTGACTATGTGAGATGAGCTCTGGCCCAGAGAACTGCATAGTCACTGCATAGAATCATTGTATAGCTTTCACCTGGAGTACCAGAGATTCAAGTTGCATTTATTGATGCAGCGGCAGACTGTGTTAAGTGACATCGGTTTACCAACGTACTCCTGAGCCCATGTGGCTATATTTAACATCGCAGCATGATGGCTTCTTATGCAATGCCATCTGAGGGCTCAAAGGTCATGCACATTCAACTGAGGTTTCCTGCCTTGCCCTACACAGATTAAGATTTCTCTGGATTCTCTGAATCTTTTCATAATATTATGCATGGTAGTTGCTGAAAGACCTAAATTCCTTGCAATTTTGCATTGAGAAAAGTAATTTTTGATTTGCTTGACACTTCTCTCATGAAATTTGGTACAAAGTGATGAGCCATGATCCAGCTTTGCTTGCAAAGACTGAGATGCTCCTTTTATACCCAAACATTATACCCTCTCCTATTACCAAATCACCTGCTTACTGTGAACTGTTTCAAAACTGTTTAACTTGGATATTCTATAACCTTTTCACTTTTATTTTGCCTCTGTCCCAACTTTTTTGAGTGTGTTACAGCCATAAAAATCTAATATTATTTATATTTACAAAATATATTTAAGTTGGTCAGTGAGAGCTTTGGAAATCTTTTCTTTGTACATTTGTCAGTTAAATTAAAGTTAAAGAGCATTAACAAATCACAGATTCTTGTTTTTATTGCATTTTACAAAACGTCCCAACTCTTCTGGAATTGGAGTTATAAAATAGATACCTAAATTGTTCAAAGTTATTAGATAATTGAAGGTTAAGATGTAACAATATGTCATGTATAATAATTTTTAACTATGTTACTTGACTTTTACTTGCCATCTTTCTTCTGGTATTTTTCTCTTTATTGTCCTACGTTCCCGTAACTGTGACCTTTATTGCCTGCCACCTGTAAACCATAAGTGTCTTTAAGGACTGTTCCACATGTGCATGTGCAATAATTATTTATGGTTCATTGAATAAACGTAGACAGTAAAATGTAACAGTAAAATATAACCGTATGTCATGTATAATGAATGAATGAATGAATGATGGATGATTAATAATGGTAATAATCATTTTTATATATGTTACTTTACTAAATGTGATCGACATGCTATATTTTCTATTAGATATCATACTTCCCCAGTGGATTGATTACATTTAGAATTGCAAACTTTTTTTCCCCAGAAATTTTATGTTTAAATATGCAAATTATGCACATTATCAAATTAAATATGCACTAATTGGCATACATTTCCAGAACAGAAATCTGGATAAAGCCAGGTTCAACATTCTTGTTTCATTTTGTTGACAACCAAAATGATTTTGCCTCTAGCGTTTTGCCTTAAGAAAACTCTTGAACTCTAGTTTGTACTTCAGTCTGTAACCTGCAAATTGGGGAAGTAAGCCCACACTAGTTCTTTTTTTAACTCACTTTAAACTATATTTTTAATGATCAGCCAGTCAGAGGCCTGAATAACACCAATTTCACATGCAACTTGGCTCATCATATTGCATTTACTTTTAGACATTTAACCTTTTCTGTTGTAAATGAATAACTGTTGTGACCATCTGACTCCGTACATAAAAACTTCCTCCACTCATAGTTCAAAAGTCCTGGAGTCATGAAATTTATCTGAGGAAATATAAACAATGCCAGTATTTATCCATGTAAACCTGGACAATTATTACAAAATCATCCTCCTTATACTGTATGAACACACCTCTGGGCAGGGTTTAAGCAAATGTGTGGAGTAATAAATAGAACAGATGAGAACATCATTCAGAACATGTCAGATTTCACTCTAGTCTTGCCTCTGTTTTCCCCTTTCCATGAAGACTATGGCGTGTTATCGTACAGACTGCATTGAGAAACCTATTTCTAAGCTTTTTGAGAAACTTGGCCATCTGGTTGGTTCTTATCCATTTTGTTTTTTTGTAATTCCTCTGATGATATCTGCTGCTCTGGGAGGAGGACTGAACTTTCTCAAAGTCCACGAGGACAATGACGTTGAGAATCAGTTCACACCTATCAACGGACCTTCCAAGCAAACCAGACATTTTATAAAAGAAACTTTTCCAAGTAACGATTCATTGTTTTCAAGTCAAAGACTCTATGCTGAGGGAAACTATGCAGTGATGATATTTTCTATTGTGGAAGGAAACATTCTAACAGATGCCCTGTTTGAGGAAATCAGTGAGCTTGACAAGCAAGTGCATAGTCTTTCTGTCAATGTCAATCAAACTCAGATAAGCTTCAAAGATATTTGTGCCAAAGAAAATTGGAACTGTGTCTCAAATCCTATACTGGACATTGTTGATGATAAATTCATCAATTTATCATTTCCAATAAATAAGTGGAAAGCGAAAGATGTATTTCTTGGTTCTACAGTAGGAGGTGTTGAAGAAAGAGGAGGCGTGATCCAGCAGGCACGCGCCATCAGACTTTTCTACTTTTTGCAGGATAAACCTGGAGCCTCTCAATGGCTTCAGCAGTTCCAAAATGTTCTATCCAAAAAAACGCTCAGCATAGGACTCAAGGTAAGTAGCCGTGTAAAGGGGCTGATTCATGCATGGAAGCATATTGTAGACCAAATGATCTGTAAAATCAGTACTTTATACCATATTATACCATATTTCCATATGTACTGTAAGTAGCATATATCTAGATAACTTTCTCAATCTGCAGGTGTCTCATTTTACCTCGCTCTCCAGACAAGAGGAGATAGAGAAACACACAACAGATGGCATTCCTCTGTTTTCAATAACTTACTCACTTGCAATCTCCTTCTCAGTGTTATCCTGTATGCGGTAAGCAACAGATATCACACATATTCAGACACCACATGGAATAATCATAAAGTAAAAAAAAGAAAACAAAAATCTTGTGTAGTCTATATTTAATAAAATATGGAACATCGTTATGTACACTTATGTCTGATCATAAACTTGCATAAACTCTAATAATAAAACAGAAACATGTTTTTTTTATATAAATTTAACGATGTTTTACTGTATTTTTGATCAAAAATGCTGCATTGGTGTCTGTGTATATATATATATATATATATATATATATATATATATATTTGTGTGTGTGTTTGTGTTTCACTAGTGGATTCAGTCCATGTATATAGACTTTGGATAATTCAATTAACTGCCTTTTTGACTAATAATTATGTCTGGTTTGATTTAAGATTTCTGGTTTCATTTCAGTCTTGATAATGTGAGGAACAAGATCTGGGTCTCTTTCATGGGAGTTCTGTCTGCGGGTCTGGCTGTGCTCTCCAGCTTTGGCTTGCTGCTCTTTCTTCAAGTGCCGTTTGCAATAACAGTGGCTAATTCGCCTTTCCTCATTCTGGGTAAGCGTGTGTCTGTGGAAAGCCATTGCTTATTTTTATGCACTGCATAAAACAATTTATGCAAAATCCTATTTTTAGTTAATGTTCTAATATTGTTTTTGAGTAAAACAAAATGAGATGTTTAGCAGAATATCCATACTACTCTCTTCCATACAACAAAAGTGAAAGGGAATGAGTGCTGTCAAGCTAAAAAAAAAAAAAAAAGACTTGTTGTACCTTGAATGCCATTGAATTGCACCTACACTACCGTTTAAATGTTTTTCCTTTTCAAAGGAAATTAATACTTTCATGCAGCAAGGACACATTAAATTATTCAAAAAGTGACAGTAAAGATATTTATAATGTTACAAAAAATCTATTTCAAATAAATTTCGATACATAAATATTAAGCAGCACAACTGCTTTAACATTGATAATAATAAGAAATGTTACTTAGCAAATCAGCGTATTAGAATTGATGATGATGATTTCTGAAGGATCATGTGACACTGAAGACTGGAGTAATGATGCTGAAAATTCAGCTTTGCATCCAAGGGATAAATTACATTTCAAATATTGTTCATATTTCAAATAGTAATCATATTTCACAATTTCACCCTTTTTACTGTATTATAGATCAAATAGGAGAAGCTGTTATGGGGAGCATAAGAGACTTCTTTCAAAAACATTAACAAATCTTATCGACCCTAAAACTTTTTTTTGTTGCATTGGCATATTTATTTATTTTTTTTACACATAAACCGGACTTTGTTATTAATTTCTTCTAACAGTTGTTTAATTGCAAATGACTGTATACATAGTTTTCAAAATATTTCCGAAATGTTTAATATAAAACTTTAGAGGTTTCAGATTTAGTTAACTAATAGCAATCTTTTCTTACAGGCATTGGTGTTGATGACATGTTCATCATGATTTCTAACTGGCAGCAGACTAAAGTAAAGGATCCAGTGGAGAAGAGAATGGCTGAAACCTTCAAAGAAGCCGCTATGTCCATAACTATCACTACATTGACTGATGTACTTGGCTTCTACATTGGGCTCATGAGTGAATTTCGCTCAGTTCAGGCCTTCTGCTTGTACACCAGCACATCCATTATTTTCTGTTACATTTATAACATCCTCTTCTTTGGAAGCGTTCTAGCCCTAAACGGCAGGAGGGAGCAGAGTAACAGACACTGGCTGACCTGCTGCAAACTCCCAACACAGACTCCTGAAGGAAAGTCCCCGGCGTATCGTCTCTGCTGTGTAGGTGGCGACTATGACCAAGAAACCGGTGCTGAGAAACAACAGCCCATAGCACACTTCTTTAAGTCCTATTATGGTCCATTCCTGACCAAGCCCTGGACCAAAGTCTGTGTGATGTTGTTGTATTTGGGTTATTTGGCTGGAGGCATTTATGGATGTCTTAATTTACAACAGGGCATTAATATGAGGGACCTGGCAGCTGATGATTCATATGTCGTAAATTATTATGATGATGATCGGAAATTCTTCTCCAGGTATGGTCCAAATATCATGGTTGTAGTGACAGAAGAGTTTCCATACTGGAATAAGAACAGCAGATCCGAACTAAATCACTGCATGGAAAAACTCCACAACTTGACATTTGTCAATCAAAATCTGACTGTCTCCTGGTTAGACTTTTACTTACAATTTGCTCAAAGCAAAAGCCTAAGTCTAGACAACGAAAATGTCTTCATTGAGAATTTATCCTCTTTTTTCCTGCTCTATCCAGAGTTTAAGCTTGACGTTAATATCACAGAAAGCAAAATCAATGCTTCAAGATTTTTTGTCCAGACTTTGGATATTTCCAATGCCAGTATGGAGATAATGATGTTCGATGAACTCAGAAACACAGCTCAAAGCTGTAGTGCAGCTAAACTTCTAGTGTTTCACCCCTTGTTCATCTACTTGGATCAATATTCGGTCATAGTGACCAGCACCATTCAGAATGTGGGCTTCACCACAGCTGTCATGTTGGTCGTTGCCTTGTTATTAATCCCAAACCCGATCTGTTCCCTGTGGGTCACGTTCTCCATCGGCTCAGTCGTCACCGGTGTCACTGGTTTCATGGCTTTATGGGGCATCAACCTAGATTCCATTTCAATGATCATCTTGGTGGTGTGCATTGGCTTCACTGTCGACTTCTCTGCGCATATTTCATATGCATTTGTTTCGAGCAAAAAACTGACTGCCAATGAGCGGGCAGTTGATGCATTGTTTTCTCTGGGCTATCCCGTGCTACAAGGAGCTGCCTCAACAATAATAGGCGTGCTCATTTTGGCTGCATCCAAGAATCACATTTTCAGGACCTTCTTTAAGATTATGTTCCTCGTTATGCTTTTTGGTTTGGCTCACAGCATCATCTTCATCCCTGTGTTTCTGACCTTACTGTCCTGCAGTTCAACCAAAGCTAAGAAGAAAACAACGACTGTGCCTGATGTTATTCCAAAAGTCATTATGATTGAAAACAAAAGCACGGCTTATGATAACTATGCTTTTACTAAGGACAATTCAACACAGAGTACTCAGATATATTTTATTCCAAAAAATAAGTTGCCTTCAGGTTGGTGCCATGACCCGGACTGTCCATAGAAACTGAATGTACTTTAGTCTGTATTCTTTAGTTTCTCTGTGATATTCAGGTTGCATGTTCTTACCAGGTTCATTTAGCAGATATGTTATGGTCCTGCTTATTGTCTATTGACACAGGTTGAAATTTATTATTTTTTATTAAAATATTGTATATATTGTTTATTTTTTATGTAAACTGAAGCAACATATCAAATCCAATATGTGCTGTCTGTCATCCTAGGTCCCAGTGGTTGATAATACGTTGCTTCATGCACCTTTCGCAACACATTGTGAGTGGTGCTAAAAGTGCGTTCAGTTTTATCTGAATTGAAACGTGAATTTGACATTAAGTTGGTCGTTGTACGTGTCGTGGAAGTTCGGAAATGAAACTTCAGTGAGTGGTGCTGAAAGGTTAATCACATTTGAATATAACTCAGCACCTAAACTAAACCCTGCCCTAAACCTAACTGACTGTGTTAACAAAAACAAACGGGAAATAAAATGCATTTGCTGAACCAACCATGCCATAGTAGCTTGCTTCTACAAGTCTACAAGTCTTCAACTTGATTCTTATTTCATGGGACTCGTTCCCGAGCGCTCTGCAATTCAAGTGCAATCTGTACCAGGTGGGCTACTGACTAAGTTTACCACATCAGAAAGCCATTCATATGGTTGTATGATAAAAACATTGAAATGTATTACATTACAAATCATGCTCTATGATAAAAGTGTTGTGAGGTCATAATATAGTATTGTACAAGGAACCATGCAAAAATAAGTCTTTATTAATCGATAATCAGTTACTGCAGTGAATTGTCTCTATAGGTATGTTTTTGGAGTTTTGCAAAAATGTAGAGGCACGTTTTCTCAATGAGTTTGTTTACATGCACCCTCAAAATGCAATTATAATGGGATTTTGACACCCTATAGGCTGTTTATTAGTGGTCTCTGCTAAGAAAGCATCATTCATTCAAGCATGTCATTGGGAAATCTAAGGATAAAAATTGGACATTAAGAATTACATATGTCATATCACTTAAAATAAATAAATAAATTCCCAAATTCCACAAGGAATTTATATACCTAATTTCGAAAATGTAATTTAGAAAAAAAAAAGTAACATAACCCAGGCCACTGGTGTGAATGAAAGGTGAATATACCTCAGTAGCACAAGAATGCTGTCATATGACATAAATGTAATGTAAATTTGCAACTTTATAGTGTGGAATAACCAATGTAAACTCTAGATTATCAATAAACTGAGTGATTGCTTTAGAAGCTGTGACTTCCGAATCTATAAAAATATATACTATTTGCAAATATGACTGCAGTACACTCTCCCAGATAGCTTTTGGACACAAACCTAATATTTGACAATAGCAGATATCAGTCATTCCCATAACAAAACCTTTTAGAGAGTCCTAATCTGAATTTATCATTTTTACAAATCCTTTTAAGGTAAATCAGTTCACTCAGCGGCCATTTAAGTTTAATTCTAATCTGACTCCATTTTATTATCTAATCTGACTCCATTTTATTATGACCTCGCATTTGAGTTAGAATGCCAATTATTATTGATCATTTATAGGGTAAATTATCGAAACATCTGATTATTCTATTTATTCTTTAATATTATTGTACTCGTTCATTCGGGTGCTCATGTGGCTCAAAGATATCGCTTCGGCCGTTAGCGTATCTTATGATCACATTCTCGTCAGTCTTGGTTATTAGACAGAGGTAATTGGCTAATACTTTAGACGGCCGCTCCTATGCTTGCTCATTCTAAAAGTACTTTTATTTAGCCCCCATAGATTTGTATACACTTGAATGAAGCAACATTATTTCTAGTCAGAGGTCACGACCACTACTATAGATATAAGCCGACCAACATTACTTTCCCTGATAGTAGCTTTGGTGTGGTCATGCCATGGTTTCCCATGTACACTAAGCTAAAGTAACATTACAATAAACAGAGGTCATGGCTCACCCTATTTAGGTTGGTCGAACAACATCCAGTTGACCTAAATGGAAATATCCTATAAGCCCTTACAATCTAAGTACACTTGAATTAATACCAAGTGTTAGCCGGATCTCTAAAATACAGTTGGTGTGCCCTATATGCTCCATCTCAACTGAATTTTAGTCCGTTACTAACCTGACGCAAGAAATGCGGTAACAAGGATACAACGTAATCTACTAGAGTCAATAATTACAGAGTAAAACAGAATAAAATCAAATGTAACAATTTATTATCAGTCAGGTAAATATGTATTATGCCAATTACATAGCCAATTCAAAGATATCAAATCAATACAAAACATCAAATTCTCAAAGATGAATCTAAGAGTAAGATGCATACCTGGACACACTTCATACTATGGGCTCATTCTGGCTGCAGAATCGCCCTGATCTTCTTGCAGTAGTCACTTAAATACCTGATGTAGAACATTATATTCTACTATTGACCATTCTGAGTGAGCTGAGTGAAGGGAAGGATGGGTGAGGGGAAGGAAGGGGATGAGGAGGAACCAATGCATATGTGAGAGACGTTTTCCCGTATTTTGTCTCAGTGAGATGTGGAAACAGATGTCTGCATGTTAATGCACTGTGTGTGTATTGTCCGTCTCAGAAGATCAAAGTGTCTGAGGTTCTGTAATTCTTACACCAGTCATGCAAGTACAGCTCCTATCTGTCTGAATAGGCAAAGACTGAAATCTCTGGCTGTGTTTGTCAAGATTACTTTTATTCTAGAAGGCTAGATTGTTCAATGTTAAATTATTGTATACATTGTTCATTATTAAAAAGTGTAAGGTGCAGCAGATGTTACAGCAAATGGACATATTCTATCCCCATGGCTGCCAAATGCACCTGGTCAGGTTGTTGATGACACTCTATAAACTCCTTAAAAAGACAAAGAAACAGAGGGGAGGAACGACTCACAGAAGATTAGTCTTGAACACCTCGCCTCTATAAAACAGGTTACACAACAGTCCCATAAGATCGTTAATGCGTTAATTTTTACTTTGATTGTACACTGAAAAATGTTATCCTATAAATGGTAACATCTAAATTAATTGGTTTTAATCAAGTCAAAAATAATATTTAATATCGCAGAATCAACCCAAATACAATAATTTATATCAACAAAACTAATTTTAACAGGGAAAATCAGAATTTAGAATTAACTCTTGAAGGTAACAATTGTAGGTTACCAATTTTTTACAGTGTATCAAGTGAGGAGCCAATCATTTCAGAAGCTATATTCTATATACATTTTACATATCTAGATTGTTAATTGTATAGAGATATGATTTAAGCTCTAAAGCTGTTTAAATCAATTTTACCATAATTCTTTGGAGTTTTAGTGTCACACTGTCATGGAGGTGAAATTGTAAAATTGGATATAATTTTACTCAAAAAAGGCTAGTATCTGTGAAAAGAACTCTTCAGTTGATCTGCAATATGCCACAGCAATTTGGACAGTATTACTACTTGCTAGCATCTTTTTTAAAAAGTCAGATCGCAAATTTAAAAAAAATGACAAAGAAATGGCAAGTAACACATTGATTTAAATGTAAAATTTTGAAGTAGAAAACTGAAACAGTATTTTCTTGTAAAACATACCCCAATAATCTGTTTTATTTACTACTTCAAACTTTTTTTTACAGTGTACATGTGGAAATAAACAAATATAAAATTAATAAATGCATATAAATAAATAAATGAAAGTTAAAAATATATGAAGAATAATTAATCTTTTTTGTAAGAAATTACAGTTTTTGTTAAACAACCAATTCAAGAAAAGGCAAAGTTACCTAATGCATTGGCAAATAAACTACATTCTGCTAAATTCTGGAAGCCAGAGCATATCAAATAAAAGCTTGCCGAAAGCTGAGTATGTTGTGTCGTGTTCAGTTTAAGTACCGAATATTGTTAAAAGTGTGATTTAAATAGGGGTTACAAGGCTAGCTAACACACTCAGTGTAGGTTATATTTTTAAGTTTATTTACTCAATGTTTTGTCTACGAAAAACCCACTGAATATTCTCATTAGAAAAAAAAAGCTCATTTACACACTTGGTAGAAACGTGCTTCCACACGTATGCAGCAAGTTGTCATTTGATATATATCTAAAATAATAACAACAAAAAATTTGGCTTTTCATCTAAATTTAAAAAATGAATTACTTAAGAGCTACTGTATTCCAATGATATTGCACATTTGATGTTGATATGATGATATTGCATTGTTTGTTTTGGAGGATAATAATATCCCAATTTAGGTGTTTGAAACAAAAAATACTAGGTCACTGCCACAGAAAACAAGCATTTGTTTTAGAGAACCTTCTAATTACAACAATTACTATATAATTTATCTATATACCCCTTGTGAAGATTCCCCATGTGAGAAGCCCCTTTTAAATAACTCCTGTCAGGAGCTAAGTTAACATGCACCATGCTTGGATATCTGATCTGTATATTATACCAATGCCAAATGATCTTGTCAGATTTAGATTTATTGATAACGTGCATATATTTCCATTTATGAACATATGGTTCAGAGACAATTTCTATGAGGACCTTTGGTAAGCTGGAGCCGTGTACCTCTGAAGAAAGTGACGGCCTCACGATTGTTTGCTCTGTGTGCCGATGCAGTTCATTTAGACGCTCGAGTCATTTGCGCCCCTGACGCACGCGTTTAGAATCCGTTCTGAACATCTCATTGTTTACAGATCTGGATCAAGCGCTCGTGCGGTGATGACTCATATTGCACCATGATTCACATCCTCACGCAGTCGCATGCATTCATCCTGTGCTGTTCGCTTCACTGCAGTATTTCTCCCAGTGAGCGACAAGCAGTGTTGCGCACTCGATGTCTCCTCGAAGCAAACAGCTCTGTCCAGCTTGTGTAGGCTATGCTTAATTCAAGAATGAATGCTTGATAGGTATCACAGCATTGACTTGAAATTTGTATTTAAATCAGCGTTAGGGGCCGTTCGCACAGGACGCAGTCTTGCGTTCAAACAGCGTGGTGGAGACGCGTTTTGAAACTATTTAAAACTTGACGCGACGCTTTAAGTAACAGCGTGACCGCATCCAAATTCCAAGACGTCCGTCTGACGCATTTCTACAAAGACCAAAATAAACAAAGGCACAGACAAAACGTGAGGACGCCGTGTGAATGTGTCTGTATCAGAAACAACCAGACGGAACGCAACATGATGGAAAATCTCGAGATGCGGTGCTCGAGCACTATTTTAACTCGACTGGCGTCTGAAAAAAAAAAAAAAAAACTATTTTAACGCGAGACGCTGCCAGGCAACATTCTTATTTACTTTGCGTTTAGTTTAAGTACTACAATAACAAATACAAAACTAAAACTATAAATAATAAAAACTATATAGACACATTTAAAAAAAATTATAAAACTGAAAAACATGTAGACAGGTAGACACGACGCGACGCTACCAAAGACGTCCGTCTGACACATGTCATAGACCAACAATTAAAAACAGTTCGACGGTGCGCAACGGTATGAAGCCGAAGTTACGCAGGGGTTTTAAGGCACGTTTTGAACAGCTAAGGGCGTCTTAACGAGACGAGTTTAGAAATAACAGCGAGACACGACAACGGCGAAAAACGTCCGTCATACTTCTGTCATTGACCGACAATAGAAAAAACAGCGCAGACGGAAAACAAGGCGTTCTGTTTATTATGATGAACAACCACGGCAATTCGTTTTTATTGTTCCCTCTCAATACGAGCTCATAATTTAAACAACGTCGCTCTGTTGACGTTTATGCAGTATGTTTATAGCAGAGCTGTTATACATGTACTCCTGCTCATCGAGCGTCTATTTTTACCGAAACCTTAATGTGATGTAGCCTATATCGTAGTTTTTTGTTTTTGTTTTTCAATGTGTGTTTTTCTCCTTTCAGCACTGGATAGCTCCTTCAGTTCTACAAACACGCCCTCCGTCAAATGACTGACAGCAGAAAAGACCATACACCAATCAAGGGCACTTTCCCAAACCCTATAAGGTGATGAAGAAGACGGGATGTTAGTAGTGTTGAGAAGTCCGACTCATTTCCCCGAATCGGTTCTTTCGAACAGTACAGTTCAATGCAGCCGATTCGTAACCCGTGAACTGGATAAGCGCTCTGACCGAACGAGTCTGATTTGCGAACCGGTTCAAATACTTCGTTTAAAAGAACCGATTCAATGAACGATTCCTACGCGAATCGGACATCACTAGATGTTATAGCAAATGGTTTCTGCCGTTCTCATGCTTTAAGACTGGAGTGGACGAAAGAGGGCAGAGTGTGTTTGTCATCCAAGTGTGAAGTACTGACTCCCTGCCTCCGATAAATAGGATTTTTTTACCTCTCTCATTCGATCACGTCTGTTGTGGTCCAGCATCATATTGGGAGGAGAGCGTCGGGGATCCTGCACATCTGCTGCGCTCCTGCAAGGAGATACAAGACCGAGCCAGCATCACTTACACAAACAACGCCAATGTACCTGAGGGGAAAGGGATTACCGATGCAATAACTGTCTTCTGGCCAGGAATCAGGTATCGGAAATGCGTGAAAATCCACAGGTGAAAATGCTGTGCTGATTTGATTCATTCCAGCTGTGATTTCTCGCATCAGAATTGGTGAACTGAAGCCGGTAAGGTAAAAGAGCTGGACTGAAGGATATGGCCATAATCCGGATATCGTTACTCTTGCAAGTGGGATTTGTTATAGGATCAAATTATAGATATGTGGAACATGATCGGGACCTAAAAGCAAAGCTACCCATTTACGATACGCACAACAATCAGCAAGCGCACCTCCGGAAACCCCATTCGGGTTTAGCGCTGAAGATTGAGGAACAGGTACCCAGAGTGGTGACTGCGTTTCTGCACACGGGGGATTCCTCCACCTTAAAACACGCCAACTGCTCCAGGAGATATGAGCTGGCGGTGTGGCGGGGCAGGACGCGCGGAGACGCGCATCACGCCATGCGCAGCGTCCTGGACACGGTTCTTCACGCCACAAACTTCCTCAACATGATCCTACAAACGAACAAGTCCAGACATCACAGCCCAAGACGCGATATGGAGTGGTACCACGCTCTGGTCAGGAGTATCCTGGAGGGAGACATCAAGATCCATCGAGCAGTGGTCACCTTGAGCACCGAGTCCCCTCCTGAAGGGCCACCTGTTTACCTTCAGGCCACACGGGCAGGTGGAGAGATCATTCTCCAGGATTTATCCAGCACTGCCCACCATATATTGAAAAACAGAACGGCTGATACCGAGTGGTACCATGAGCATAAACATAAAAAGAAGACCCATCTCCAAAAACGAGTGCTGAGTCAAGATTTTGCCTCTTTTGACGCGTCTGTGCGCAATGGAGAAAGTTATATTACCGACAAAACTCAGATTCACTGGTCAGCTCCGTATTTGGAGTGTAAAAATGGGAATTTCATTCCCAAATGGCTCATGACACTGTCTGCTGGCTTCTATGGCCTTAAACCCAACCGGAATCCAGACTTCAGGTAACTTTGATACCATGGTTTGTTCAGTTTGTGTAGTAGGCCTACTACATGATTAATGCACACAGAAAAAAATAAATGGTATAGAAATAATTTTTACTCAGAAATTGCCAAATTTCACAAACAATTATAAAGAAAGAGCAAGTAACACACTGAATTAAATGTGAAAACATAAATGTGTAAAACATAATCTAATAATCTTTATTTACAACTTTGAAAATGTATTTTTTACAGTGCAGATTATCCACACAGAATCTGTTATTATGAGGATTACTATGTTCTGTTTAGTAGGAATTAGTCTTTTTTTTTAATTTAGCAAATTAAATTATTAGAATTAATTCAAGTTAATTTCTATAGTTCTTACAATACAAAAAAAAAAAAAGTTTAAATGCATGTTTCAGTGTGCATTTCAATCAGAAAGTATTCTGTTATCGGTCAGAGTTGAGTGTGTCCAAACAATGTCCATTATTACAAAATTGCAACGTTACCTAATGCAGTAGCAATAATTGTTTTTCATAGTCTTATTGTTCACATTTTTGTATTTTATCCTTCGGATGCTATTGGTTAGTATGGCAAACCATCACTGCAGGTGTAGAGAGTGCTTCTAAAAATAACCAATGCTGGTTGCATAGCAAGAAACCCCATGGCCCCCGAACAATCAGCTCGCTTCTCAATATACAACCACGGTTATTGGAGATGATTAGACTGATCAGGCTAACATGGTGGAGATGTTGTGTACAAAGATCCTCGACTCAGTTCAAAGATGAGTTAAGGGGCGCCGATAACACTGGAGCTCAGAGACAGGAATAGGGCTGTTTCCTGTTTACTTATTAATCCCACGGGTACCAGCACCATGGACTCAGGTTTTACAGCCACGATTGTTCGTTATAAGCTGTTATTATGAACTATAGCTTCTTTTGGGTGAATCATCATCTATGATGTGATTGACTTGAATGCATTTATTGCATAGTTGGACTGTGGTATGTAACAATTCACGGACCAAGCTCAATTTGCAGCGTATGGCAAAAATGGTGTTTCCGTTTATATCTGCCATCTTCAAATTCTCCAGTCTATCGTCTAAATAAGGAAAGCCAGCGGAAGCCAGTGTCTCTCTGGGTTTGTTCAGTAGTTATGCTGTAATTTGTAACCTCCCTGCGCAGGTCGATATTTGGCCAAGACTTCGTCTTATGATGGCTTGTATCCCCTGGGTAGTGAATTCCGAAACACTTGCTGGCTGTGACATAAAGGTAGATCCATCCTGTTGTCTTTAGGCCCACTCTTTGCCACCTATATTTATAAAGGGGCAATGGAGGGGGGAAGGGGTGTTCTCTTAAGCAGTGTCTCCAGTCTTCACTCCCAGGATACATTTCAGTCAATACAATAATGAATAAATAATGAAAGATGTACAACAGCAAAATAGAGGTACCTCTCATACATCTGACATTTTTAGTTTAATGTTGCATGTCGGAATTTTACATTTAGACTTCTTATCATGGACAACCTGATATTTATGAAGAGAAATGTCTGGGTCATGCAGGTGAAAAGTTAATTACATCTAGTTGAGGTTTCTTCACTTTGACAAATTCCATTATCTGGTGTAACTTGAGCTAATGGACACGTAGAGCACATGTATGATGATTAGTAAGTAGATTTGTACTTTTTTGGACAAAATGTGAGAGCGGTGCTCACCGCCACACAATGTGAGGGTGTTGTGGTTGGTTGGCAGAATATCATTACATGGTTGCTAAGGTGTTCTGAGTGATTTTAGAATGCTGCTATATGGTTGCTAGGGTCGTCTGTGGTTTCTAGGGTATTGCTAGGTTGTTCTGGGTGGCTGCTTATTGTCCCAAGGGTCAATGATGTGATGTTCATTATTTTGTCAGGATCTATTAATGTATTCAAAAATGCAATTCATACATACTGTGAATTGAATAAAACTCTTGCATGTTATTAATTTTGAAAACATGTATTTTTATATTTCTTGGAGGCATAAAGTCAGTGTGGCACAATGGTCTGATTTCCTAATGAAGAGTAAAAGAATGAAATGAAAAATCCATATGGTTCAAACAACATGTAGAAATATGCAGAAAAGTATACGTGAAACAGCAATATCTTTTAAAATATAAAATTTTATGACAAGATAATGCTAGTTTAAGTTGTAAAATTTCATGTTGT